TCCACCAACTCGTATGCCTTCATCCCAGTCCAGTAACTTCCTCACTCACTGCAAGGCCGCGGTGAAGAGCGAGACTGTGTCTCCTTGTCGGACCCACTTTCCGACTGGGATGATCAGGGGGCGATGGAACAGCTGCATCGTCGTTGTACTTTCCTTATAGCAGTCGGCTAACGTCTTTTCGTAAGCTGGGTGCATTCCTTGACCGACTAGCCCTGACGGGATGGCGCTAGTCTCGTTGTCAAAGGCTTTTTCGTAGTTGAGAATGTTAAGACGAGAGGCAGTCGGTACTCCCAGCAAACTTCTATAACCCTCGAAACTGTCTGGACGTAGTTTCATGCACCTGAATCCTTTGCGAGACCCAGCCTATTCTTGGGGTTGGATTTCATACAGTGTCCTAGATATGCAAGCAAGGATGATCTTTGTGAAAAGTTTGTACAGTACAGCACAATCAGCAGGCATATTGAACGGTAAAAAACCTCCCATTCACCCTTCTTGAAGAGAACGACGGTTTTTGACGTTTTTCACTGATAGAGTATCCTTTCCTTCTAAAGGTAAGATGTTAGGTGCGACGCGAGAATCTCGTGTAGACGTTGTCCTCCGGCTCGCAGAAATTCGACGGAAAGATGGTCTGGTCCTCGAGCCGTGGACGTCTTCATGGTCTGAATCGCCGTGCGCACTTCAGCAGGTAGAATTCGTGATGGTACTTTTCCAGTGAGAACAACGGGCATCGGCACAGGTGTTGATGAGCGAAAAGGTTGGTGTAGAAGTTCTTCGCGACAGATTCCATCTTATATCAGGAAGAAGCCGGAGTCCCGTCTTCGTTCAATAGTGCAGCCAGCGATACGTGATATTCGCAAAGGTCCGTTCGGCACTTCTTATATCTTCGTTCTTCCTTCGGCTGTTTCAGTATCTTGGCTTTGTACTTCCTGAGATCCTCCTGCAAAGCTGTCTGCAACTGACTGACTATCAGTCGCTCGAATGGGTTGCATTCGAATCTTGCCTCAGTGGTCTTCTTCTTTCTAGTAGTTCCTCGGGGGTCTTCAAGATGTAGCTGAGGCGCACTCTCCACAGGCTTACGATGATCGGTTGTGATCGGAACCATTGCAGAAGGATGGAACTACTGAGACATCAAGCAAGCCCCACGTTCGGTTGGTGAGAATGTGGTCGATCTCCGCGTGAGTCGTTCCGCTGGGCGAGCCATGTCCAGCGGCGATGTTCTTTCTTCATGAGGATGGAAATGGAAAAGTCGTGCGGCGGAGAGAAGCCCAATGAGGCGGTTGCCGTTTTTGTTCCAAAGCCCATATCCAAACTTCCCGATTCTATAAAAAGTTATTAGTGGCATCCCGATTTTCGCGTTGAATTTGCCCACAATAAACTTGCAAAAGGAATTCTCGTTGCGGAATACCTCCTCCACACCTTCGTAGAAAGTTTCTAGTTTTGATTCATTGGCTGCTGATGTTGGAGAGTAGCAGCTGATGATGTTGATGATTTTCTGACGTGGAGGGCATAGTCGTAGGACGGCTATTCGAGGTGACAGGATCTCATGCGAATCGACAAGATGGACGATAGATGGATGGACGATAAAGCCAACGCCTCCAGCCTTCATGATGGAACCTTTTTACCACGAATAATGAGGTCCCATCACTCATCTGTCGCACCTCATTTTTCCTGGATTTCGTTTCCTGCAGAACAATGGCGTGGTACTTGATGTGCTCTGCGTCGAGAAGAGCGTGGAGGTCGGCGTTTGTGGAGACTGTCCTGGCGTTGTAGATGCAAAGCATGAGGCACTCTCCATGGCGTGTCGTTCAGGCAGAAGCGTCGTTTTTGTTCGATCCAAAAAGTGCTCTGAGGACCCTGACATCATTTTTGCTAATGCCCGGCGCCGTAAGCGGGATCCGATGTATAGGGTTTTTTCTATTTCTTTTTTCTACGGAGTAACATAACCTACAAGAGCAGACCTACTAGGCTTACTCTTGATTTCCACGGGGCGATCACTGACTTGGGTGTGGAGCGGGGAGAACCGCCTAGCGACAGGAAGAACCATACGGCGGGGAATCTGGCTTGGCCGGCTCTTAGCTAGGCACCCGGTGAAACCGGAAACATCGAACTCTTTCATAGCTTGGAAAGCCCTACCAGAGTATACACTCGGTTGTGCATCGAAGTTCGACACCTAGTACCACCCCCACGCCAGTTGAGGCAGCCGACCATTGTGGTGTACTATGTTACCTGTGGATCAGAAAAAAAGTTCAGGCATCTATGAGCTTTAAGATAGAAAAATTGTAATTAGCATTGATAAATAGCAATGTTCTTGGTGTGCGGTCGAACCGTTTGTCTGCTTCCAGATATAATGTCCGTTAAAAATGTCTGGGGAGGGTTTTATGGCAAAGCATCCGCAAAGTTCTTGGATAAATGATAACGTTTTAGGTAACATTTGATTCAACTGTTTTGGCACTATTAGGGTGGGGCACTGTGATCTAACTGAGGCCGCTCGCGCCCGCGACGCACCAGCGTCTCTCTCGCGCGAGTGCTCTCTGATCATCACCTAGCCTTAATTAGGTCACGAAGCCCCGCCTTTGCCGATGCCAAGCCAGTTGAATCAAATGGTAGAGATGTAAGTTGGAACACGGAACACGCTGTCATCGTAACCGTCTCGTATCATTTGATTCAACTGGTTTGGCTTCGAGAAGGCGGGGCTCCGTGACTTAATAAGGGCTAGCCGGTGATCAGAGAGCGAGCGGTCTCAACTACGTCACAAGGCCCCCCCCCCCCTTCCCGAAGGCAAGCCAGTTGAATCAAAGGTTAAGATGTTAAGCAGCTTATTGGCTACGTTTATCAGGCGCACGCGATTTCTCAAGCTACTTCTTGGTACCATGTATATTTCATTTCATTTCATTTCATTTGTACGCTCAAGGCGTTCCATAAAAAAAGACACATCAAGAATTTAGTAATACAGCGGAAACGAACAAGACATGTAAACAAATGCAGACATCATCATGTCAGTCCGAGTCTGATCCTAATCAGACTAATGTGAGAAGATAAAACAGCTTGCACTGAATATGTTGGTAGGCTAATAGATAAGTATGCAGATGTAGGCATGAGATTTATGACTCCAAAACTTTGAATCCATGGAGATGGGACGCATGCCCCCTCGTTGCCAGCGGAACGATCTTTAGTTACTCTTAAAAGCAATCCGGCGGCTTATAAGGCAGGTCTACTGGCTCAGCTATAATAACCATAACCCAACCTAGCCGGAATGCTGGGGAGGCCCAATGACCCCAAAGGTGAAACGATTCTCATTGAATCCATTTATTGAAATAGCAAGCTGTACGATTGACTACTAGATAGCTGAACGAAAAAGACTCGGACTGAGATGCTGATGAAACTGTATTAGTAACTAGAACAAAACGAGTACACCAAAAATAAAAGTTTGACGCAACGTGAGGAGATACACGAGAGGCGTCAAAGAAATAATTTACAGCCACAACTGAACCCGCAAGTCAACGCAAGATTACCGAGCACCTGAAAAGACAGGTTTTAGAGGTAAAATGGAGAAGAAAGGTGATAGAAAACAAAGCCCAAAGCGATTCCATCCGCCATCATAGCACGTCCAAAGCACCCAATGGAAGCCCAAAAGGTCTAATGCAGAAGGCTCGCCCTGTCATGCAACACTAATCAGTGTTAGCGATACTTGACAAGTCAAGCCTTCTTAGTCTACTCTTGAAAATATGACTACTCTCTGCACTAGTGGTCTCAACCGGGAGGTGCGAAAGCCACCTAGCCGACCTGTAGAACACGTTGCTGAACATCAGCAAGTATCTCTTGCGCCGGATTCTTGGATATTGCAAGTTAAAAGAGCCTGACCTTTCGCTTGTAGGAACAAAAATCCAGTATTCACTGGCTTTTAGCTTGTTCTCTCTTCTCAGAACTTGAAAACAGAATACAAGATCCAAGAAAGCACGACGGTTTGTTAAGGATTTCATATGAAACCTCTCAAGCCGGGTCTGGTAATCGGGAGGGGTGGTTCCGGGCGATAAACGTCTATACAACAGTCGTGTGAAAAGCTGTTGAACCTTTTCAATTCTGCGAATATCCTTTTTACGAAAGGGGGACCAGACCTGAGAACAGTATTCTAAATGAGGAAGAACTAATGCTTTATAAAGCGGTATAAGTATCTTCGGAGAACTAGCATTAGTATTGCGGAAAAGCAGAAAGAGTGAAGAATAAGCTTTTTTGACTAACGTATTGATATGCTCAGTGAAGTTAAGATTTGTATCAATCACGACACCCAAATCTCTAACAGTATCACAGCTCTTCAATATAGAGCCTTTGATGTGATACGAGGTAGTATTTCCACCTCCAAGATGAAGCACTGAGCATTTGTCAAAATTTAACGCTAATTCCGTATGTACGTATATGTCAAAAATCACTGCTCAGAGGTGCGAGCTTTTTTACAGCGACAGAATTCTTGGCGAAGTTTCCTATAAAAATGGCTTACGACTCTTATGTAAAACGACAGCTGGGCGAAGCTCGTGTTTACAGCTTACTTTGCTCAACCGAGTAGTGTCTGTCACATATTTGGTGTCCATGCGATAAGGAAACATCGTTATCATGGCCACATTTTTGGGTACATGAATCAGAAATCATTTACATTACAAAATAATGAAGAGAACCAAGCCAAAATTGATATCGAGCATTTAGTACACTTCTCTATTCACGGGATCTCTTTGCGATGACTTACAATTCTTTGTAAGACAGTGACATATGTAAGATGTGGGTGATGTCAAGTGTGACCTACTAATCCGTGGGAATGTATAGTGATCATAATATGAAATGGTAGATAAGATCAATTAGTATAGACTAAAGCTGAAATTGAAGAAAATGTTGTTGCTTTGCTACTTTTATTTGCGAAAGAAGGATACAGAATATTTTGGAAGTCTATAAAAAAGACGAGCCCTCTCCCGCCAAAGAAGAGCTGAGGATTTCCGCATAGTTAGGTGGGGCTAGACACAGAGCCCAAGACCGCTGTCGCATTTCGTCCCACTGGGACAAGCAGAGCAGGTCTTTCCAGTCTTGTATAAAACTTGGTCCGGAATGTTACCTCTGCAAAATTTTACGATATGCTTACGGGAGGGAGTATGAGTGCAACGTACTTTGGACTATAAAGACATATAACGGTGTAGGCCGATGAGCAATTGGCTATAGCACATCCAATCTCTTTGGTATCAGCCCAGGCGATCTTAAAGAAACTGAGTAAAAAACTTGCAAGGCGCACAACTGTAAAACAATTCATATGCTGCTCATTCATTACAAATTCTCCTTCCTTACTTATCCATAACTTTTAAAGCTCATCATTCAAAAAAGTTCATTTTGAGAGAAGTAATTCTTACCTGGGCATACGTTTCTACAGGTGTTCCAACATGGTTGTCACGGAATGTCACCTGCATTCCTGGTCCCGTGTTATCCGTGCGAACCACTTTCCACCAATTTGTCACAGCCTTTACCCATTCATTTTGCATGTGATGTTTCAAGCGTATTTGCTAACCTTTTTGACTGCATCTTCGTAGTTCCTTATAGCGGTACTCGATGAGAACCTATCAAAGTTTTTACCATACGTACCATGCGCTTCCTTAAGAGTCGGACAATCTCGTACTTCTTCAATAGCTTCTTTTTCCATAGTGCAATTAGTTTTCTGAAAAATTTCGATTACGACAGAGTTGCTTTCACATGAAGGATTTGCGAACAGTGTAGCACAGACAGTACCAATTTTATGATATTTGCTCCCGTTGGCAAATAATTCCCACTCGGTCTCTGAACCTGGCCTTTTGCGAGTATGCTTCTGAAAAAGCACAATTTTTTTAAACAAAAAAAAACAAGGCGGAAAGAATTCTGACCAAAGGAAACTTAATGCGAACCTCCTGTAGTTATGCATATCTAGAAACTGCGTTCTGAGAGCATCGGTCATTCCTTCGTTCTTTGAGCAGAGAGTATTCTTTCCTATAACATTGGTTAAGGGCTAGATTTTTGATTTCCATCCTCGTTTTTTGTAGTGTAAGGAACGTTGGGCACAACGTGCTCAAACATAAATTCAAGGGCATTCTAGACTGAAGGATTGGTCCTGCTTTAAAATCAAGCTTAACTCAATACAGAAATAACAGCCGAGATACGATTTCTGCTAATTCACTTCGATGCAACAACTTCTTATGATTTTTGTACTTAGATAAGGCAAAAATTTCTGGTCAACACTATAAGCTCCTCCTCCTTCACTGCACAAAGCAAAGGTGAGAGATATGTATGACCACTGATGTCAACAAGTTAGGAATGGGTTAGGCCCAAAAGTTTGAGCCGTTCATTCAATTCATCAGAAACTCACGATAAATATAACCTCGAGTCATTTGTATGTAATTTAATATTTGAAATTGCACACTAAGCCCTATTAGCGAAGGCACCCAATAGTAACTTCCCAGTAAAACATTTTCTAGCTTAAAAAAATGTTAGAAATGTGTTCTATGACTAACATATAACCGACTAAAACAGAAGAAACAAGGAAACAAGGAGAAATCATTAAAAAATGAGCAAATTCTAGTTTCGCAGTTCGTTAGTTAGTATGTATAGTGTGCACTACGCATATTACAAATGACTCGACGATGAATAGGAAAACATGGACGTTCTAAATGCTGCTATTCTTCATCTTTCTAACGGTCATGTTTATAGATTCCTTTCTCTTGCAAACGAGGTTTGGCCGGAACTACGAACACAAGCTTCTTACAACCATAATTAGCAATTTCTCAAACACTCAATCTATGCTGATCAAAAGCTTTGATAGGCGATGGATAGAGTAAACAAAGTGCAACTCAATAAATTCTTTAGACATCCCAACTCGTTTTCATTATACACTCCAGACAAATTTTTCTACTGGTCTTCATTTTCACAAATTCTTGTCAAACACACATCATACACTAAAAAATTTGCAGACAGAACCCGAGTTAATGTAACTTCAAAACACTCCAAAAGCCCAGAAAGAAAAATTCGAAAAATTGCCGAATGTAGACGATGTAATACCCATGATTTCAAGATTTTAACGACCTAGTGGCCGCAGGGGACCATTCTATAAGCGCGATGTTAGAAAGAGGAAGAAAAGCTGCGTTAGATGATGCTGAAAACGTTTGCTTTCTTTATTCCACGTGATTTAGTGAAAGCTCGGAAAACTACCAACTTGCAGCACAAACGAATCTCCTATGATTTCGTTACTGTAGGATTACGGTAAAATCTCCAGCACTATGCTGCCACTGCGGATCACCGCTGATTCACAAAATCTCCAAAACGTCTAAGGATTTCATTGTGATGAGATTTTTCGGCTTGCTAATCTTATTAAAACTTTGTTATATTCATAAAGCAGTCTGTGCAATACACAGACTTTGATAATAATCAGAAAAATTTTCATCCCTGAGTCAGAGATTATACTGCAGGAAAAAGCTCATATGTAAAATAAGCAATGCTAAGAAAATTCCGAACTCTCTTCGACTATTGCTTGGCGCGAAATATGCTTCCAAATGCTCAACGATCTTTTGAAAGTTCATAGGTAATCCTGTAAAATGAGGGTTTGGTAATCCGTTCCCTATTGCAAATCTGTGCTAGCACCACAATTGTTACTGCGAAACTGTTCAAACAAGAGAGTTATAGAGGATCAGATACATTCTTTAGACACCATGAATAAGTTCTTGTTCACTTTCTTACAGTATTGCACCTAAAGATTCAAAGGCCAAAGCTTACTTGATTTTCTACGAGATATGTACCTTATAAGGGAATGATACCTGGTAACCGTCGCCAATCAAGATGGGCTAATTATCAATACATGCTCATTGAATCTTAGTTCTTGAGCCGTCTATATCTGTGAAACAATAATTTGACTGTAGTTATGATTTTTTTCGAGATAAATGCATCATTGCAGTGAGTCAAAATCTTCAATAAAAACTTTCATGCTTTTCTTAAGTGTTAAATTCAGATTAATCAGTCAAGAGACAATAGTCAACATTTTCTGCCTGTGATTCTCTTCCGAGAATCAGGCAGTAAATTAGACCAATACTGATGAATTCGACTATCCAAATGCGCAATTTTTCTGTAAAAATACGTTTACCTCAGGTTGGTGGTTGACTCTTACACTAAGAAAATGCACAAAAAATGTTTCAAGTATAGTTCATATGTTTCTTAGCCTACAGCAAGTGCTCTAGTTTACTATGCACATTGAAATTTATCTGCAACAAAATCAAAATCGTCAATCATCACTAAGTATCGCACTAATCAAGTGTAAGTAAAACAATAATCAAGAATGAAATTGAAATTATTCGGACTTTTCAGCATTTCAGAACCAAAAATGAAAAAAAATGATGATGGGTGTTTTCTTTAACCAGCCTGTAATATCTGATATTCCAAAATGACTAGTTGAACACTATTATAAAGCGCTTGATTCTCTCTTTCTAAGCTATGTTAAATTTGAAGAAATTCGTTAGAAATACCAATACCACAACTTCAAGAATCTCACAGATTTTGACTTGCGGACCAACCTCAGAGAGCCAGTGTAAGTTTAGAATTGCCTTTTCAATATAACCTTCTTGCGGCATACATCCCATTTTGAATGGCCGTGGTAATCAATTAGATCCTTCTCTCAGTATACTTATAAATCTCAAGCTGTGAACTTACCTTTAGGTAGCACTGCGGTGGTTTCGGGCACCTCACATAGTCCCAAAGTGGTGTCACAAGTTTCGTTTTTGTCAGCAGCGCAGTCCGCATCAGCTTTGCAACCTCCTCCGGATAACGGATAGATAGAATCGTCTTTAGCGAGAGCTCTAAACATGCACAACATTTCAATATTCATTCTACTTTTCGATGCAAATGACTTGATATTCATGCCATGTTCAATATGATAGATGGGATCCCAGTTTCAAGAGATTCTGCACTCAATTTTTATGCCTCAAACTGATTCTAAACACTTAAGTTCATCAGAAACTCGCTGTGTACGACTTCTTCTTGACATCTAACCATAAAGGAGGGGGCTATCAAATGACAGATAAACAATGCATGTTGCGAGATTAAAAGTTGTAAATTACACCAAAGTCCAACAATAACTCGGAAATATTACTTTTGTGAGACTCACGAGCGAACCTTTGTCAAAGTAGCCTTTCCAGTTGAAATTTATACTGTTTTATAGAGCGTTTAACGCTATTTCAATTCTTCCTTATCTGCGGAGCGCCTCTGGGGGGAGGTTGGGGTGAGAATTTAGAGCGTTCATAGGCCAAGGAACTGACCACCTGATCAGAGTGAATCAAAGGTAAGAGCCTCTACAACTAGCAGATGAATAATTTCGAGCATAGAGGTAGCAAGCAGAATATCTTTTTACGGAGAGTTCAACAGTCACTAGAGTTCCGTCTGAGCTCATGAAAGACTTCCACTAAGGTTCTCTCTGTTGCTAGAGCCATTATCTTTGAAATCTGAGTGCATGGTATCATGGGCAGTCACGTATTATTGAGCATACAATTGTGGTTTAGACAAGTGTGTAAAAATTTCAAATTGAACTTTGCCAGACTCTGCTCATTTCAGGAAAACAAATCACGTTTTTGAAAGGAAAAATCTAGGCATTCTTACGAAAATTCAAGTAGAGTCTGAGAATAAAGTCCTCTTTGAGCTGATTTCTTTGCATAAAAAAATGCGTAAATAACGGAACTCGTGGGCGCTGCCTGAGCTTCAATGAAGATGATTTGAAATACTTTGACGATTTGTTCGGGCTGTCATTATAAGCGTCGTCAGTATTGATTTGAAAATGCATTTTTGCTGATTATCCGAATTAAAGCTTAGTGGGTGTAAGAACGACCTTGGTAATTATGGCACTAATTACACACGGAAAGTAACAAGATAGAATGATTGAGATAAACACTTGGACTGCTAGGCAACAAAATACTTGAAGTTTCAAAGCTAATTTTGGACAGGCCAAGTCTTTTGATCGTTATTGCATGTTAGAAAAGCTGCTCAACATAATATTAGGTTGATTCTTGGATCTTGCACCAAAATATTTGAAAGTATTGTAAGTTTCTGTGCTTCCAACGAACTTGTTGAATTTAGCATAGCTTAGAAAAAGAGAATCTGCGCTTTCTAGTAGTGTTTACAGCAAAACTGCATGTTAGCATATCAGTGTGATGAAGTAGATTAAGATAAACACAATTGGTGTTTTCTGCTTTTGGCATCAAAGCTAGAAAGTCGAGAGAAAGCTAATTTTATTGCAAAGTTTGGTTATGCGACTACTCGTTTTGGCTGCAAGAAATTTGTGGTGTCAAGATTTTGGATTTTTTTAGCTCGACATTTCGATTTTGTTCGAGATGAAGTTCTTAATTATGGTTAGATGGAGCACTTGTTGTGAGTTCCAAAAATATATTTGATCTAAAACGTTGTTTCAAATACTATGTGAATTTTTAGCATTTTCAGACCAAGACTTACAGATCAACTTTATAATTGTCCTTGTAATCGATCGTAGTTGCCTATACCTAACACTTTATATTGGTAGAACGAAACCCTTCGAATTTGAGAATACATCAAAAATGGCAAGACTCATCAACAGATTGGAAAAAGGTTTGATTGTTGAAGGTTTGTTTTATAGTGGCTTACTACCGGTGTGGAGATTTATCTAGTAATGACTCACTTTTGATTAGTAAGGCAATACACATTACTGTGCTTTACTGCAGGTGTGGCGTCATCATCGCATTCTTTAACAGCACATCCAATTTCTGTCGTATCTGATCGAATAAGCTAAATTTTACAATTTGCCCCCAAAAGCAAAAGGTGAAAATAGTGCCTCACATCCATAGCGCCGTTAGGAGCTACAACCACAACATTGCCGTTGTTCTCATCAAAATCAGTAGCTTTTGCGAGCGTATCAACTTTGCCGAGCATTCCCTGCACTAAAACATCCAGTGCAGCTCCAGCAGCATCCCTAAAAATCCCAATGTGGCAGTATTGGGAGGAAGCGTAAAGAAAGCTGGTATTGAAAAACTTATAAATATTTGAAAATAAGGGCATCGCTATACCACCGCTTACAAGTATGCAACGATTTTGCTATTATATATAATCCTTCTCAAGTTTGTCCGTTATTCGTTTCTACCCTTACTAATGATAGACTAATAGACATTAGCTAGATGTCCTTAAGAATGTGTTTACATTGTGTTTTGATGATATCTTCCTCTCAATAACCCTTACTGTGTCCAAGCTAAGTTTTGAAAAGCTGATTACAGCTCAATATTGTAGCACAAAGCGAATTAATAAACCGTTCTAGACTCCTACGCTACGGTGCAAAATTCCACTACTTAGCGTCATTGCAAGCTACGTTCCAGTTGATTCAAGCTGTGTAATAAAGCATTTAAGTTTCTTTGATATAAGCTTGCATGTGAAATTACTTAGATAATGTAGACTATTCTGAACAAAGAAAATTTTGATCCCTCTAAACCCCACCTAATTTTTGCTTGAAGTCAGTGTCCCGGCAGATTTTGCATCTCGACCTTTTATTCTGAGCTTTCTCGTCGTGTAGAACCTCATCCGAGTTTCACATCAGGTCAAACGACCGTTATTAGGGCGTGTATATTTTAAAATAAAAGGTCGGAACGGGAGCTTACATGGGAAGCCGGAAGGCCTTGGCACGAAAATTTGAAGCTTGTAAATCTTGCACCGAATGGCATGCATTGTGCAGAAGGGCCGTACTGGTCCCGCGCGGAATAGGCAAATGAGATCGTCCGAACGTGCGCCGATGAGGTTACGCGCGCCATCTTCAGGTGCATCTGCGAGGTAAATCCGTCTGCGACACATGTTTTCACTGGCGACACCTTAGCGTCGGAATATTTGTCCTCGCTATATTTGTCCTCCTGTCAAAGTACGGTCCCCAAAAGGTATTCGAGGTTTTCAAGCGATTTCCAATTGAGTTATGGAATGAAGGCTATGAAAAGGCTTGTATGACAAAAACGTAGAAGTCGAAAGTTTGTCCTTCAAAGGCAGTGTCCCACCAGATTCTTATTGCATTAAAGAACCCCTTACTCCTAAATTCCATTCGATAAGGCCTCTCGTACGCCGAGAAATTTAGAAGCGCCGTGCACCCGAATTCTCGACTTCCATTGGTCGTTTCGAGGCCTTCTCATCTCCCTGATTCCGAATATGAAGAAGAGAATCCGCGAAAACCCCTACATTCCTTGTCCGTTCCGATGAAACCCCAGGCGGGTCGCCCGGAACGTGATTGGATGGGCGCGCGCGGAGTGACGGGCATTTTAAAGGACGGCGCCGACTTGGAATCCTCGTGCCTCTTGTTATTCTGGAGTGATTTTTACCGCGACTTAGGCGTTGGCTTGAGAGGGGGTCCTACTATCGTAAGCTGTCAAAAGCTTGAGGCCCCCCGCTTATAGTGGACGGTGCAGGCTCAAAATGGCGCGCGGAGTGCATTTCGGTTCGCACTGGACGACTTGTCGGTTTCTTTGTCACGTTTCAACACGAAAGCCAAGTCTTTTCTGGCAACGCTATCGTTCTTGTCCTATTCAGGGCCCGGCACCGATGGTTTGGGGTCAAACTGGACTTCGTTTTTGGAGTTAGAGGCAACGGGGACATCGTTTTTATGAGGTCCTGGAGGAAGCGCCAAAAAAACACGACGAACATGTCGGGTTTCACGAGTTGAACGTGTTCTTTCGCAAGCGCGCGAATTTCAAATGCAAGACTCAAACAAACAAATGGCTTGTTTACAGCGCACAAACAATCACAGCTACGAATTTGGGCTATTAGTATACAATATTACTCCAAACTATGTTATGTAAAAAGTTCCCAAAACTTATGTGTCCTAATATCCGTCCTCGAGTTTGTCGGTTTCTAGACCAACTACCAGACCAACTGGGTTGGTTCGGAGCATAAATATCGGAGAGTTCACATAAGTTTTGGACCTTTCTGGTTTGGACGATTAGAACGGTCAAAAATCTATCGTATAGTGAAGAGAGCGGATCAAACCGTTGCTTCTCCCCTTTTTTGAGTCAAATGTAGTATAATTCTACGCGTTGATAGATATCGCGCTCCAATCACTTGCGGTGTCCTTTGAAATATGTGGCGAAAAATGCATCGCAGGATTGTTGAGGCTACAGATTTGATTGGCCTAGGAGATTCTCGACATTCCGATCATCAAAATGGTATTGGGTCGTTTCAAAAGTTCTACCCGTTTTCGAACTTTGACTTTGATTCACCGTAACTCTTCTCAGAAATAATCTTTGCAGCTGCTATAAACTGCGTTACAATCTGCAAATCTTTGGCTATTCTGCGCACTCTTTAAGATTATTGCATTAACATTGAAGAAGATTTTATAGGCGAAAATCGAGGGACATCTCCTTTTTTAATCCTTCACTTTACAAAAGCATAACTTGATTTGGAATATAGCTGAGTTGCACAAGCACTGCTCACAATGTAGCCCACAGTCGACTGAGCAGTACCGCTAACTCTGGATTTCATTAAATTCTTTCATAAAAACTTTGTGCTGAAAAATTCGAAAGGACTCACTTATTTTGCTCTTTCTGAGGCGGCAAAAAATGCAATTTTTTGACATTTTTGATTTTGTTCGCCGTTGACAAACCAGGAAATCTTTTCGTTCTTCTAGTAGGCGTTGTTCTAGCTCTAATCTTGCTATACGGAGTAAAAGTTCCGCGATTGCAATATGTTTATGATTTTTATGCGACTTGAAGGGACCATAAAGACAGGTTATGTTTAAGCTAACAATTTGTAGGTTCAAAATTTTTCTGAAATCATATGTCGATGTGCGTTTTGTAGCACAAGTCTCCAACAAACACATTATGTATGTTTTGAAAAAATTTTTTCTTTTAACTGTAGATTTTATGGCGATGGAGTAAAGACGAAAATTTTCACATTTGTTTCGCTGTCTTTTCAAAGTACGCAACCACACAGGAACAAAGATCTATGAAAACGAAAATATGCCTGAAAAACTAGAAGAAAAGAGCTTTTGAATGACATAAGCAATGTTTATGAAAAATGGTTTCTTCCTCCAAAATCGGCAGTTTAAAAAAAGGTATCAAAAACGGGTAGAACTTTTGAAACAACCCAATACTATACCCAATATCAGAGCCTTTAATCGACTCGAAATGTTTTCTTTTTTGCTTTTTTGTTATATTACATACCTCAAAATGCGCTTTTTTCGCTTTTTTCTTGCTATTTTGGTCGAATAAGGGCTTCCCTACTGATTTTCACGTCGAGAGGGACTTCGTAAATTTTCGCGAAGTCATGGGGGACTTCGTTTCCTAAAAACCTCCAAACCAACGCGTGCCGGGCCCTGGTTCTATTCAGTCTTGCGGCCACCACTAGGGTAAAGCGGGACAGCTCTCCGCGTTACTTTTGAGGGAGTTTCGCAAAGGTTTGTTGGGTTTCTTGCGTGGAGTTGAGTCCGTATGCGGTTATAAGGGTCGGAAAGACTTGTAATTTAAACTCGAAACCCAAATTTTGATGGGTACTGCCTTCAAGAAGTTGCGGCAGAATTTGAGCGACAGAGTTCAAGCAACGGCGATTGCGTTATTGAAAAGAATTTGCAGGTGTATCATTCGTTACTGTGTTGCATTCGGCTATATTTGCGCTAGAGCCATTATTCCTACCGTGGGTCTAATATGGATAAGCGGTCGGCAATTTGCTTCGTGCCTAAGTTAAGTTGAACTTATAGATCAAAAACGGTGAGAATTAGCAAAGCAGAAAAATACCAATAATTTCCCAGTGCATACACACGTCTGGAATGCCCTGTATAAGACAATAACTATAGTGAAGAGACAAACATATTCTGCTACCGTTCTTTACCACCCGTTACCGAAACGACGTTTGTATAATGTTGATGTTTTAATGCATATGTTCTAAATCGGTAGTCTTGTTTCTCCATATGCGATATCAAGGATCAACAGCTAGGTACTTCTTTTTCACATTATTAACTTGTGGAGAGGACCTAATCATCAAACACCGAACTTATTAGGTAAGGTTTCTAAGTCGCAGTAGCGACCTGGAACAAAATGCAGACTATTATATGCGTCTTGTTTAGCTGAACCCCAATATGTCTTCCGTATCTGCTGCACGGCACTCTAGTAGAGACTATGAGTTCGTAGTTTACTATGAGTTAGTTATGAAATTCGCATTTGGCGCACTTGGTGCCACATTTTTGAGAATTAATTGTCCGAAAACCGTATCAATGTTTCGGTGAATGTGTGCATTTCTTGCAGTCAGTACACTCAACACTATGCCGTAATGCACTCTGAAGCTGGATTGCAAAGCACTTTATGCATGAAACCCCAACGACTTCACACACTTAATCGCACATGACCTTTACTAGCGCTCAGCAGATATGAAAATCAAATACAGAGTCAGCTCATCAAGACGCATCTAATTAAATGCCATTCATTCTACTTCGCCAGACTTAAGATGCCTCTCCTTAAACATGATGCTTACATTTTATATCGAGAAATTGTTCTTGAGACTCACGTGTGGTAGATGGCAGCATTGTCTGCTGGTGCTGTCGGTCCAGCAAGACAAGTTGCAGGAGCCACTGTTTCCAATGCTGTTTTGGCTTTTTTTTCCAGTTCGCAGTTCCACTTCTAAACCATATTGTATGTTCCATTGCAAAGAATTTAGTTCACTTTCATCAAAGTTCGGCAAAACTAAGAACAATCATCAGTGAAAATTCGAAAATAGGCAATGAATTTTTTTTATTATTTTTGAGCATCCAAAAAAACCTCGTCTATATCCGTGCAAGTTCGGTCTCCGCAAACTTTTCTTCATCACACTCTCTTCATCTACACCAGTGACCAAGCCACAGTAAACTACAGTAAACTGTAGCTCATAACAAAAAAGTACAAGTAGTGTCAGTGCTCATGTATGGTAGCCGTATATTTGAGATGGTATGGATGCCAGTGCAGACAACGTTTGCACATGAACGATGAATCGCATATTCGAAATTGTGTGCATGGCCTTTTTTTACAAAAGCTTTTGTCTGCTCTACAAACATTGCAAATTTGTCCATGATTTTTTCTTTCGAAAGCGCAGGGAAAAAAGCACTGACAGCTAAACTTAGCGGCATGGAAATTCAGCTTCATTTAATTATCCTTATTTTTCTTTACGTCCTCACTTCTAAACATTTTGACAAATGAGAGCAAATGATGCTGGTTTGGCTGCGTGTTTCACTTACGGCTGTTATGGACTGGCTGGGGTATACTGCATCCTACCTACATTTAGATTGTGAACTACCAGTAGATTTTTGATAACGTTGATTCTGAAGCCTCGGGTAATCATAATATCCGCCTCTCACAACAGTGACTATGTTTGTCAGAAGCACACAACTCTAAAAGAAAATTAGTAGGGCGCTTTCTTCGCTTTTGTGATCAGTTTCTGGCACATACAAAATTTAGTACATTCTATCCATATTTTCTGTTGTCACTTCCGAAGGGGATGAAAACAATCCAGCTTTTGCACTTTCCTTTTATAAAAAAAAAACATTGTTTAGTATTATATAAGCAGATTTTACTGCGTGGGTGTTTTAATAATAAAAGAAAACTGACTGAAAACTTCTTTTGCTCTACTATCCTGTAGGAATCCGAACCTGTAGAGGATTTCTTACCATCTTCAAAGCTCTCAAAACTTACTGAGCATACGCTGGATGTGACTCACAATTTTTTGCATGGTCTTTCCAGCCGGAAATGGCGAAAGTGTTCCTTTTACAACATCAGATCGTTTCTTATTGAGAGGTGTCAGTATTTTATCGTCGATATCCCGTTTTTCCAAAACACCACCTTCCTTATCACAAAAAGCAGCTTAAGAAAACGAGGTTATTCTGATTCTTCCTTGAGTAGTGATACAAACCTGGCGCGGCTGTTGGTACGAGAGCCACCTGTAATAGAAATGGTTATAAGTTTTTTGACTGTGCAAAGGATAAATTGGCTTACCAAAAATAATAAGACTGCTGGGTTCATATTGAGGAAGGTTGTCCGTAGACCACCGGAGAGCGTCCGCTTTTGTACATTTCATTAGTGGGCGTGTCGACTTATCCGTACAAAACGGCACGTTTTGTGAGCAAAGTCCTCTCATGTAACGTATTCAGCTTGAGTTTTACTGAATCTGATGTATACTGCGCATGACACATCAGCTTGTGATGCAATTTGACACAATTCTAGATCCAAACTTAGCTAAAGATGGTGCTTGCATAAAGCAAAAGTGTCTTGTCGCACAATTTTCAACACCAGAATTGAGCACTTTTGTATCATTCGTCTTTTATTTGTCTTCGACGCTTTTTTTTTTAGCAGACTAATGTAAAGCCTGCGCGAACAGCTCTTTCGAAAAAGTAAAAATCCAAGAAAAAGTTTGTTGGTTTTTTTAACACATTGACGATGACCCACATGGTGGGTCATGCAGTGATTGCCACTTAAGACAATGCGACCCACATGGTGGCTCATGGCATGTTTTATAAAAATAACCATTATATCAAATATGTTCGTTTCAGAAGTTCTCTTAAGCTCTAACTCTTATTACTTCCGCTCCCCCGGATGCTGTTTAGAACTACTGTAGGCATACTGTAAAGACGGTCCGCGATTTTAGCTAAAAATTTTCAACTTGTTCGTGGAAAGCATTGCCCTAACAGCTGCACTCGAATGTGGTGTTTGTTAGCTCATAGATTTCGAATTCATGTTATCTACAAGGTTATGTTATATAGAAATGCAAAGATATGCTGCCGTATCCGTGTAATATGCAAAGGATATGCTGCTGTATGGGCGTAAAATCTGTTTGATTTAGGACCGCAGATTGGATGCTTTAACGAGGAAATAAAGCTTTACCACGAATTTGTTCAGTGCAGATGACGTTACATACTGATTGAAAAAACAAACTGGTACCTTGTGTTTGCTAAGCTGTAGTACAGAGCAAAAATGTCAGACTTCAGTGTGATGGAAATTGTCGTTTACTTTGAACGCAATACGTTTGCTTCTCAATAACTTATAAAAAATGGTCTATACTGACTGCGTAAAATGTTACATCTATGTCATATGGTCATGTTTACTATTTCACTTTCCCAGAGTTTCTAACTTACGCATCTTATGCCATTCCGATACATTGCTCTACCGCGGTTTACCGGGTTGTAGGATGTGTAAGCTATCGTTACTTTACTTGATCGTAGATAGTTATGGGGAATGACATACTGTAGGGATGTGGTAAGATGTAGTACAAAAAAGTTGCTCGCATCTGTGGGAAAGTGCTTCCATAACTGTTATATGATTTTGCAAAGACGTGTGAAATAAATGGAGTGAGCATATACTAATGCAGTAGTCAGTTTAAGGAAGTGATCACAATCAGTCAAGAGTGAGGGTGTGGCAAGCCACATTACCCCATCAGTCTTTGCTTTCGAAACAAAATAGATGTTTGATGACCATTTCACTCGGGTTGCTGAATATGCAAACCTCAGAACTCGCTCAAACGTGGTCCACAGGTTTTTTTGACTTGCTAATTATGGATATATTACTCGTCATGCTTGGCAGGGTATGCCTATTTTTGGTATGCAATACTTCAGGGGTCTTATCGAGAAAGCAGTTGAGGGGGGGGGGTCGTATCTAGTGCGCCAGTGTGCCAGATCTTTTGCTTGACCCTGATAACAATTATAGTTTTGCGTGGAGCTTTTGTGTCGCTTACATATAAAGGGAATAAATTTCATTTAGATCCATTTGCTAGAATGTTTGCTGCTGACAGAGCTCAGAATGTCCCGATCAACAATTGTTATAGGCACCATACAGGCTATTTCTCAAAGATGTGGCAAAATCTGCTGGTGCGATCGCCAGTTTTGGCGACTATGTACACGTTGGATAGGCATTGATTGGACGTGTAAACTCATGCCAGCAATCGATAGCTAACTAATGTGCAGTCGCCAACTTTAGTGACTGGCGATCGCCAGTCGTAGCGATTGGCGATCGCCCGTCGCTATGCTATACTCCTCGAGGAGTATAGCACCTGCCTGCTTTTTCATTTTTTCATTTTTCATTTTACATCTTTCCAGGCTTACATTAATGACCGTGTGGTGCCCGTCTCCTCACCTGTTTCAATGTTTTTCATTTTTTGAACACTTTGACTACAGGCCGTTTCTAGCTCTGTTTGTGTCACCCACTTCCGGATGATGAATCAGCGGCGACAAATTGCAGAACTTACATAAGAACTTAATTGTACAAATTTTATTCTCCCTGTCATCTACGATAACGATAAACCATTTGCATAAAGAAAGCGAAGTAAGACTTATGCTGCTGAGTGCAAGTTCTGCACCTTTTGACTGCTACTCCAGAAACGAATCTGCTTAACCAGGCAAAACTGAGCACCAATCCTGAATAGACAAGGTTATAGAAGAGTTGATTGATAGCAGAAAACAAGAAGGGAACAGTTTAGAAACTTGCTGAAACTTAGCCAATGATACTTCAGTCTAGAAAATCAAGCTGCTATCAAAACACTGCAATGGATACACATACCGATACGGCATGAAACAAAACCACAATGTTTCGAAAGATTAGGAGAGAAGAACGAGAAGAAAAGGGCTTCAAGCGGCGTTAAATGAAGCTGGGCAAAATAGATGACAATTCCGCGCATGCAGCGCAAAGTTTAAGCGAGGCAGCGCCGTGGACTGGAGCCGCGAGGGTTGTGGCATTCAGGCTTTCATAGCCTGTTTAAATGCACAGCTTAACCGAACCTATTTCTGCCCTTTGCTGTTTTATCTCTGGTTTTCCTTGTCTGTTCTTTACTTCCATCCACTCGTCGTTCCAAATTATTAGCCGTGCTTCTATGGTACTCCACAAAAGGTATTTCGTAATGCTTCTGCGATGTCAAAGAAGACTTCGTTCTCAAAATCCTCAAATGCCATTTTGTGCTGAGACTTATCTGTCCCGAAAGTAAGGATAGACGATGTTAAACTCAAAGTTTTTGATATCAAAATTCCATCAATAGCGTTCTGTAGTCTTTGAAAATGATGTGATTTAGAAGTGATACGGTACATACGCTGAGTCATCATCTCAGACAAACGGGGTGAAGGGGTGAAGTTCCGGCGAACATTGAAGAAAGTTCCGGCGGGTCACCTGGGGAACTCCACTGTAAGTTCGTGGGAACTCCATTCTAAATTCCTGGGAACTTCAACTCTGAAGTTCTCGGGAACTTCTCCTAAGATTGTAGTTCGCCGGAACTTCTTCATCCAAAGTTCTCGGAAAGTTCCCAAAAGACTGCAGTTCACGGGAACTTCTTTAGTTGAAGTTCTCGGGAACTTCTTGCTTTATCCCCCGGAATCCAAGCTAAAATGGTCACCTAATGACCACTTCTAATGCAATTGCCATAAAGAACATCTATATATTTATTCTGTATATTTTTTAACGATGAAATGTTTGTTTAACACTTAACATAAAAACTTCATCGAATAACTGAACACATAACAACATGTGATGAGTATTCAGACATCAACATTGAAAAAAGGAACAATATTGTTTTCACGGTTGACTGCCTAAGTTCTCATTGCTGACGTCTAAGTTTGCTTTCCAAGCCTCCGTGCTCATTGTCTCTTTGTCGGTGCGTCCAAGTCCGACAAGGGCACCTTTTGATTTCTGAAAGAATATATATGTGAATAGAAATAGGAGAAAGCGGATTTTACATACCTTCGGTGAAACAAGATGACCATTGTGGAGGCGATAATAGCGCACATCCTCGCTAAAAAATAAAAACAGCCTTTTACGATGGCGTTATGTAGAAGTGGTGGACTTACAGCTCTTCAGCAATGCATGTTTTTGCGCTCACTCTCTCCATCTCGACTTTTTTCCAGCAGCGAATTGAAAGCTTTTTCCGCCCCTGCTCCGTTTCAGCTAACGACAGCCAAAAACTGAAAAAAAATTTCAGCGCCTAAAATGGTTATTGTAGATATAGACAGCACCTGTTTTGTTAGTTCTTCAGCAAGTGCAGCCTTGTTCCGTAAAGTTCGTTGTGATTCAAATCCAAAGCATTCAAAATGAACTTCAAATGTTTTGTTGCTCAACCCCTTTCAGGTAAATTACCTTCACCTGTAAGCGCATCAACAATAGAATCGGGTAGATTGATTAAATCCGTCCTTCGAGCGACTTTTGAAACACGATACACGTAGTTCCAGATATCAGAAGGATCGGGTGCGCAGATCTAAGTGTAGGTTACGAGGTTACGTGATGGTCATTTTGGGAGGCGTGCAAGTGTTACCCAGCCGCCTGGTGCCGCAGCCAGCCGCCAGAGCTGGCACCAGCGTCGCGGCTGAGCTGCCGTAAGCGCGCTCTCGTCGTCCGCAATCTCTCGCAGAGAGATTTTCGCAGCAGCCTCGCACCTCATCGCGCTGAGGTGCGAGAATTTCCTCAGAGGTCGAGCTACTGCCACATATTATATATCTGATGTGGAACACGTTGAGCCGTTGACAATTTATTAAAAAAACACAAGAGTTCCCCCTCTGCTTATCGGCGTACATGCCGAGGGTTCACTAGGAATAACTAGAGAACAACACACACAAGTATATCAAAGTGCGGCGGGTACGCCGCAACACCACAGAGACCATATCGACCTAGCCTATAGTGGGCGAGCAAGTTCTAATATAAGGGACGGCTCTACAACAATATCGATCAACACAGCTGAAAATTTGTAGTTTATTAGTAATATGCATTACAAAAAATATACAAAAACAAAAAAAGTTCAATAAATAAAATCACAAATGAAAATCACAATCAAATTTACTATTTTAAATGATTTTCTCTGTTACAAATTTCGACATTTTGATACGAAAACTATTTATAGGTGTTAGTTAATGCATATGCCAACACGAGGTTTTTCGGTGAAGCGAAGCTTTTATTAGTAGAGTGGCCTTACGTTTCGAGACCAATCGTCGTCTTCAGGGGCCTAAAGTGGAGCGAGATTGATGATCATATGCCTATACCACCAAACGCCTTGTCGACCCCGGCTAGTATTCGATCCCCCCTATGGTTTCACAAGCAAAGACCTCAGAATGGAAAGACGAGCTAACCGTGGCTCCACCGCTGTCGCACTGATGGTGGTGTGCGACCGCCTTTTCTGTGTAAGTAGTGCAAATTATCCATACAAGGTATAGAGCAACTGCATTACTTCTCTATTTATAGAAGCTCTTGGTATGTAATTTCCTGTCTCATATTCTTCTCTAAAGCTGCGCATCGCATCAATAATTTTATTTCGGCGCAACACATCCTTTTTTCGTAATATCTTCACGCTTCGAGGATGCTGAAATTTTTTTCTAAACAATGCATACAATTAAAGGGTGAACTCCCTGCTCACTTATTTCGAGTTCTCCACGAAATTCACGACTTCAGCGGCTGAAGAGTAGAGCTGGCTTGTAGCAGGTAGCGGATTCCGGGATTGATAAATTTTTAAAAAGATTCGGTAACAAGCAAAAGAACAAAAATTACCTCCAAAAGCGACGGATTTTCTAAACAGGTAATTTGAGCAAGATGCTGAGCATGATGACTGAAGGCTGTAAAGCTGAGAGTTTGACTTCTCGAATCTTAACTGCTCAGCATCATTTCATCTTTCATACCTCCATATGTGGCACACTTTTTCTAATATCTGACCTAGTTGGTATTAGAAGTCTTCTGCCCCAAAGGTCACAACGAATTGTGCCAAAAAACCATTCAACATTCTAATTTATATTTTTTATAAACTTACTCCACGATATTATGCTTTCAATTTAATTTTGTAATCATTCCATCAACTTATTTACATATTTAATTTTTTTGTTTTTGTATATTTTTTATAATGTATATTACTAATAAACTACAAATTTTCCGCTGTGTCGATCGATATATAATATGTGGCAATCGCTCGACCTCTGAGGGAATTCTCGCACCTCAGCACGAGAGGTGCGAGGCTGGTGCGAAAAAATCTCTCTGCGAGAGATTGCGGACGACGAGAGCGTGCTTACGGTAGCTCAGCCGCGACACTGGTGCCAGCTCTGGCGGCTGGCTGCGGCACCAGGCGGCTGCCTGTGTAACACTTGCTACGCAACCGGTCATTTTGTATCCAGAGTTGAATACGCACCTCTTTAAACAGAGTTCGCAGAAAGTCGATGACTTCACTTGTAACGTCGTTTTTTACTCTTTTTGGAGGGGCGTATTTCTTAGAAATTCATTCAAATTGACTTCCTACAAATAAGATTTGACGAATTTTTTGCAACAGTTAGTTTCTAAATACCTTATAATAGCGATCAGAATTTCCAAACGGCCGAACTAATTGTCCCGTTGTTAAAAGCATCAGCCCTAGAAACATTCCCTTTCCCCACTCATTCCCTCCCCTCCTCCTTCTATACTCATAAAGTATCTGTATCAAGCATTGAAACTGTTGAGCAACTTCAACCCCTTTCTCATCCTAACCCCGAATACGTGAACATGCTACAGCCTACTCTGTTCAAGGGCCTCAATGGGCGAAGTTCGTGTATGTGCGCCTTGGAGTAGATGTTGAAGGCAGATTTTCGTCGGCCATGATACCTAAACATACTACAATGATCAAGTTGACATGAAAGCTAGCTCACCGGATGTTCTTTTGCCACTAGCGTCGGAATCTGGAAATGAGCTTTAGCAGACACAACTAGGAGCAAAGCTCAAGTAAGATGCGAAGTGTACCCTCACAAGAGTGATGCACAGTACAAAGCAAACGTTTTAATGACAATAACTACAACACTTGTGACAATAACTACAACACAATTTGTGTATTAACCCTAAAAATTTTGCAAAAACTTTAGAAGCACACATGATACAGGGATGATAAAAAGCCTACCGAGCGAGAAAGGGGTAATAGCTGTTGGTTGGAGTTTACTTACACTTCAGTGTACGTAACATAGGAGGAATTAATGCAGAGGATGGATGGAGCAGGGGATTGCATGAAGTACAGGAATCCAGATTGACATAAGAACCTCCATGGCAAAATTAGGGACGCTTGTTAAGTGAAGTTGAGTGAATACAGATACAGATAGAGATAGGGATAGATAGAGATAAGAGGAGAAATGACAGGAAGAAGAACTAAGAGGAGAGATAACAAGAAAGAAGAAGAAGACAAAACATCCAAAAAAGCGTCCCATAACTTTTGAAGAGACAGAGCAAGAGAATGAGATACAACTTTAGAAGTGAAATACAACATTGGGAACACAGAAGAATTGAGTGCTTACCTTTATTCCTTTCAGTTGTACCCAGCGAAGAGCTTCCCCGATATGAAACTTGCCACTGCACGTGTGAGCAGTCGTGGGCTGCTCTTCTCGACTTCTTCGCACCTGAAAAAGGGAACTTTATCACAAACTACTGATAAAAGAGGCATGAACTTACCTCCAGACGAGATCCTAGGCTGTGGCGTTATGTATTTCGACATCCGCTTCCTCAAGCGCGCGCCCTCGAAGCGTGGTCCAGCGCCGATCGGCTGGCTAGCACGACAAAGTTCGCGGGAACTTTCCATTTAGTGTACTTTAGGAAACTTTGTCATCTTTGCCAAAGTTCCCAAGAGCTTTCACCGGAACATTGGATCCGCGGCATACTTGACGTCATAATTCACGGGAACTTTGTCATTTCTATACCCCAATGGTGAACAAGGTCCTCCGGAACTTTGCCATTTTTCTCATGTCCGCCGGAACTTCCCGCCGTTTGTCTGAGATGCATGTTGACTGCCACCCGGTGGAGAACATCCCGAAATCACGACTGTGAATCATTGTGGATTCAGCTTGGGACGCTGACTCCAACTATGTTGCCTCTGCTAATGCTTTATTTCTGAAAAGAGTGACGACTTCTTTCCTGTGTGACTTGCACTCGCCGGCTAGCCAAAAAAATCCGAAACACTCCAGGAGATGGCTGGTAAAGCAATAACTCTCTAACTTGTCGTCGGAAGATTCTTGATTCAGCCTGCAAATAATGGCTTGTTTCTTCGTCTCATAAATGTTCATTATTTGGTAGCTTAAACTCACACAAAGAATACGCATTTGAATCTGCTCAAATGAATCGACAAATTACCTTTGAACTACTAGTTTATTGTATCACTGAAGGAAGCAAATTTTCACTGGAATTTAAAAAGAAGTAGGTGACTAACGTAGCTAGCTGCTCACCAGGCTTAGCTCAGTGGAAAAAATTTCTTGCAAAAGAGATCTCTAGAATGGACTTGTACCTAACAGAACACTTTTTCAGGAGAGCTTAATAAATTGCTTGGCATGTCTGATCCACGGAAAAGAGATCGTTATAAGTCCCTCTACCTTTGAAAAAAAATTGCAGCTAGTCAGCTATGAGCAGCATATTTGGATTTAGCGTTTCGGGCCGATTCTGGCTTGCAGACCTTTTTCAGCGGTACTGCCCCTCGTTGAATATTTTCGTGTTGCTGTAGAAGGAACCATTATCAAACCGTTATTCGGCTAACATTTTTGCCTAGTCGCCTTCGTTAGAGCCTATAAAGTATAAAACATTTACATTTACCCTATCAGACATCTCATCCATTGCAGGAAAAGAGCTGAGAAGTAGACCGGATCCTGCCTAACCTAGAACATAGCTCACCTTAGCCGATAAGATTTGTTAGAGACCACCGCTGGCTGGTATGCGCTTTGCGATGAATAAGGTCGGTCCCCGGAGCTTGAGATCAAAATTGCATAAATCCAGGAACGGCGCGAGCTCAGTAGTCACGGAGATGCATTCTATTCGATTCATTTTATATCTGGATAAAATCCAGCAAGCCTCAAGTGTCTTTCGCGTCGACACCTTAGACTCCCTTGATAGCATGCTAACTAAGATATCGAGCTCTGCGTTTTGGTGACAAAGATCACGGTGAGTGCCCAAAGGAGTCGACAATCGTGATCTTCGTGACCCATCCAAGTGCTCCTTGATTCTGACGCACAGTGGCCTTCCCGTCTCTTCTGTGTATCCCTCCCCACAGCGCTTACAAGGGATGAGATAGATAGTTCTGAGCACATACTATCCCCAAGATTGTTTGTTTCGCAAACGATACAATTCTCGCAGTCGCATGCTCTATCGTGTTCTGTGTTTCGCACTAAGCGCTGCAAATTGAGGGGATGAATCTCTACGGCCCTCAACGAGTTCTCTAGGCCTGATTTCCGCAGGCATGCTCTGATATCTTTGCTTATCTCTTCGAAATAAAGGGAAAGCAGAATGGAACCTTGCTGTTGTCAGCCACACTAGGTACTCTACTACTATGACTTACACGCGCTCCTCTAGGTAGATAAGCATTGACTTGCGCTACCTGGAATGCCTTATCGAAGCGGCTTTGAAGGTATCGTCTGATGACACCATTTTCGCAGTGCGAAGCATATTCGTAATGCTGCATTTGGTACAAATTGGATGTGTAGTGCACTAAAATGTTCTTATTCGTTGGCTTCCTATACCATCTTGTCTTACGTTCTCCCTTTCTCAAACAAATCTGTATGTTGAGAAATGAAAGCCATCCCCCTTTGGTCTCTCCCTAGTAAATTTTATATCAGCTGACGCTTGTTAAGCAGGATAAAACGCACGTCCATTTCTGCTTGCGTTGAACAGACGATGACGCAGTCATCAACGTACCGAAGATAGAGAGTTGGACCGCGGCTTAGCACTGAGTTTTCTACTCTGTGAAGCACACACTATTGCAGGAGCCAAACGCTGTCCCATGGCGAGCACCCTTGTACAGTGCTGGACAAAATTATAGGTCCACTCCAAAAAATGCCATAACTCACCCTGTTGTCAAATATGTTCCAAAATTTTGGTACAGCCGTGTGATTACCAGTCTATTCGTTCAGTTATTGAAGAAAAAATCAAAAATTTTGAAAAAAGCAGACTTGAAGGGTGGTCAAAATTATAGGTCCAAATGGAGTTTCTACTGATCGAAGAACTCCTTAGCTTTCAATTTTTTTAGGTAGGTACACATTCAAAACTGTTAAACAGTTGCTCTATTCAAGCAGTGTCATATTTCCAAAAGAACTGATTATCTGCATTTTGCCTTGAAAATGCTTTCACATGTATTTTGCTCCAGAGACCTGCTTTGAGTAGGAAATTCTGCAGTTTTCAGCTGGATTGGAAGCGACGGGGTTTCGTCTACCTTCCGGATGCTTTTTGACTTGAGCATTAAGGAAAAAATCTGACGTTTTGCTGTTGAAGCAAATCCGAACTCAACTTAATCGGGAGCATAAGCCTCAGTTTCTGCTCTAAAACTTTTTATTCGTTACCATTACATCTCCATATTGTAAAAGCAATCTCTACACAAGAATAAAACTGTACGCTACACTCACAAGTGTTCACAATGCTGCCCTTTGCCTCTTTTTCGAAACACCAGTTGTGCAGCGTAATGATGGTGTTACTCAAAATAGCTTGCCAAGTGCTAACTCACTTGAATTTTTAACTTTTATTTACTGGATAGTAAATGCAGCTTGTATTGCATGTTATCACATGATTCTCCAGAAAAATTTGGTCGTAGCCAAAATTAGCTTTAGTGCTTGTCGCAGTCAGCTTCTGCGGGGTAATTTCAGTAATTATTCTTAAATGCTAAGATCTCTAGAAAATTGTAATTATGGAGTATGGACTTTTCTTTGTAGAAACAATGCCTTTACTTTACTTAATGCTTCTGAGGACATTGTAAAAGAAGTTCGAAGGCAGAAATTTGAGCTCAGAATTGCAGTAATGTCAATGGATTTTTTTTCAGTGCTCACGTCAAAAAGCATCCAAAAGGTAGACGCCCCGTCGCTTTCAGTCAAGCTGAGAAACTGCAAAATTTTGTACTCAAAGCAGGTCTCTGGAGCGAAATACATGTGAAAGCATTTTCAAGGCAAAACAAATAATCGGTTCTTTTTTAGAGGTATGACACACGACTGTTCACACTTTTGAATGTGTATCTACCTTAAAAAAATTCGGAAACTAAGAAGTGCTTCGATCAGTAGAAAATCCGGGTGGTATAATTTTGACCAGCTTTCAAGTCTGCCTTTTTCAAAATTTTTGATTTTTTCTCCAATAACCAAACGAAAACTAGGCCCGTTTTGGTGACTGATAGTAGACTGGTAAACACACGGCTGCACCAAATTTTGAAACATTTTATTGATAACAGAGTGAGTTATGGCATTTTTCAGAGTGGACCTATAATTTTGTCCAGCACTGTGTTATTGCCGACCATCGAAATATCGAATAGTCTAGACATTCTTCCAAGAGTTTCATCACCTGCTGGATAGTAAATCCGTACAAGTTCAGATTATCGATTCTCTCGTTGAGCATTTCCAACACATTTTCCAATTGAATACGTTAGTGTAGAGAGAAGTAACATCGAAGGATTCTATGACCTCATGCTTATCAAATCGCATATCTCGCAAACCGTCATGTAGGCGCTGGTGTTAGGCAGATGAGCGGGGATAAATTGCAATAGTCGTGTAAGGCTGAGGTTAAGCACCCAAGATACTCCGAGGGCCGCCAACATTGCTTATAATAGGACGAACCTTGAAGTTGCTGGGTCTATGGAAGTCATAATGTGTGGCGGTAGCTTATGCGTCTTGATGAGCATATACAAAACTGGACATACTGTAGATCACACTTAAGGCGCGATATGATGTGCTGCGATAGGCCTGCTGTTTGCACCGTCACTACCCAGATTCAACTTCCGATAACCTCCTCGTTTGAATTCCTTTACTGATGATTCGCGATATTTCGTTTGTCTTAGGGATGTTGTTTAGTTATCACAAACTCAAGTGCTCTAGGCATTAATACAAATTCGCCGCCTTTATTGCTGACTCCTAATTTGACGGTGTTAGATGCAGTAGGCTCCCGAAGCTCATTCATACCCTTCTTCTGCGCTACGTTAGATTTGATTTTGGACGCATGCGACTGTACCGCTTAAGTACATCAAAAACAGAGGTAGCAAAGCGGAATGCGCAGTCTCCGATGGTACAGGCTCTTGAGGCTTGTAAAACATATACGGAAAAGGCATGACGGGCACTGCTAACTTTATCAATCGATTGCTTGCTTGCTGCGTCTCCAACTCAGCCTTATATCGCAAGCGATGTTGTTGGTATTGCAGGGTATCAACAATTTTGCGTGCGACCGCGGGGCATATTGGTTGAGTGGGCGAAATACTTGGTCCCAAACTGAGCAGAGAACGCGCATTTGCTGATATTGTTGCACCGCCAATGACTGTAACTCGCGATAAGTTGATCTCATTTTTGCTAGCGTTGGTAAGCTGATGGTCAACGTTATAAGAATCGGTGGGTATGAGTGCAATTCCAGGTTTCTTAGACTGCTCCTTATCCAACAACTTATCAAACTTCTCCCGCATTTTTGATTTGATGTTAGACCGGATAAAATCACAAATGCTTTTTGACTCACTTTCTACGCTCTTCCAAAGGCTGTTTGGCAGAAACCGTCGGCAACATGGCTCTTTGGGCATACACTTGTTCTGCAATGCATATAGACGGTCCCACTTGATCAGCCATCCGCAGTAGTTGCATTTTGATGTGGCTATCTGCCCTATTGTGGAAGACCGCATATTTATTCGGTCGAAGCGCTTCTTTCCAATAAAATCTGTAATCTTCTCGTTAGTTGCTTGAGCGTAATCCAAGATTGGTACAGAACTTTATCGCATATTGTCTTCGACTTTTTCATACTCTGAAGAAGGCGAGTTCGCTGAAACGTTAGTTTGTTATTCTGTGCGATAAAGTTCTGTACCAATCTTGGATTACGCTCAAGCAGCTAACGAGAAGGTTGCAACTATGCTAAGATTTATGGATAGTCGAACATGGATGCTTATGAACGATGTAGCAGCAACTTCCTTCCGACTCGTAAAAGAAGCTCTCTCTTTGTTGAGACAAAAGATTGTCTCGGAGAGGCAGACCATCCACTTCCTACGGCGCTGCTTAAAAGAACATGTGATGCCGAATTATATCTCAAGGAAGCGAATCCACGAAGTATGCGGGCTACCCAAAGAAAGTCAGCAAGTTAAAATCGAGCAACAACTTCTTCATGGCGCTTCGATCCAAGCAAGATCATATGTAAGATGTTGTTTAAGTGTTTGTACAAGGAGCAATGTTGTGTACGATATATGCCTGATCGCCTTTGGAAGAGGATTGTAGGTGAGTCGAAACACATCTGTGATCATATCCGATCTAATACTAAGTCTAGATTGCAGAAAAAGTTCAGAACTTTAGTTGAACAAGGGCAAGACCATTCACAAGAGCCGGCTAGTGCAAACAGTTGTGGTTACGAAAGTCAAAACTGCGCTGCCTCTGCTCTCACTAATGCTCCTAGTCGATTCCGGGTGACAGTAATTGGCAATGCACTTATTCTCGATGATGCGCTATCATTACTGCACCTCGGTCCTACTTTCGCACCTAAGCAATCAATAAGATCTCTGGTATCGCGTAGGATTGTCGGCAGCCTGCAATATGTTCACGAAAAGATACGTCAACGAGCCAACGAGCGAGAGAGCGCAAGAGACAGCGAAATAGCTGCGGCAAAAACATGGCCAGTTATTCCTTTCCCGCGTTTGGTATACAAACCACAGGGGCCTAATCAACCAGCGGACGCCAAGTTTCGAGTGTTTGCTACGGGGTTGTTCTCAATCCTCAGTCATTTTCGCTAAAAACGCCAAAATAGTAATTTAACACTTTTGCAACGCCGCGGCCTGCGCGATACTCGCAACCTTTGTGCTGCAGGGGAGATCAAGGTGTCGGTCAGCGACAAAGGAGGGGAGTTTGTGATTCTTTCTCATGATCTGGACATGGCAATCACCAAACACCATCTGCAGGATATTACCGTATACAAGCTTGTGACAGCAAACGATTTCAGAAAGCAATACGTCGCTTAAACAGGATATGGTTAGACGTAGCTAACCTCGAGTCATTTGTAACATAATGTGTGAGACTGCACACTACACGCCATTAGCGACGGCACCAATACTTGTAACTTCCCAGTAAAACATTTTTTAGTCCAATAAAGTGTAGAGATGTGTTCTACTAAATAGCATGTAACCAATAAAAACAGGAGAAATAAGAAAAGAAGGAGAAATCACAGGGAATGAGCATGTTCTAGTTTTGCAGTTTGTCAATTAGCGTGTAAAGTGTGCACTAGGCATATTGAATTACAAATGACTCGACGATAAAGCTGAGGGCTCTAGGGCTATCGCTTCATGTTTAAAAACCGATCCGCCTATGTGTCCGGTCTTTTATATTCTAATTAAGAAACATAAAGTGCCTATTGATAGTTTAACGTCCAATAAACCACAAGACTTTAGGGTGAGGCCTATCATCGGCATTGTTGGAGGACCTACGGATAGGATTTCGTGGTTTTTCAATACTAATCTCTCTCAATCTGCTAAGATTTGTCCCCGCACATCTCTCCAACACCAGAATGTTTCTTCTTCTGCGCAGCACCAATGTAAGGGAAAGGTGCGTTTTGGAGTCTTTCGATGTGGAATCGCTCTATACCAACGTCTCCAACGACGTCGCAATGCAAGCGACCCTCGAACTTCTTGTAGAACACCAGTCGTCACTCAATCTTTACAGTCTTAGCATCAGAGGCATCTTGTCGTTGGTCAAAGAATGTCTTAACTGCTCCATATTTCGTTGGTGTGGAGACTATTACACGCAGATTAGAGGGTTGGCTATGAGACAGAGACTAGCGCCGACCTTGGCAATTGTTTTCATGTCTAAGGTGGAAGCCCCAGTACTAGCGAGCATGACTCTGCTCTACTGTCGGTACGTGGACGACTGCTGTATCGTATATCCTACCCAGGCCGAGCTTGACTTGCTTCAATATCATGAATGCCCAGGACACTAACATCAAGATGACGAGGGAAAAACTCAAAGATGGATGGCTGCCGTTCCTCAACGTAGTTTATCGGACAAAGGTTTCAAGACCAGATGGTATCGAGCAGCAAGAACATCTTAGTACACCATTCTTCAGCACATTCCGCATAAATAAATGCCTCCATCGTGGGGAACATGTTTAGAACGGCTTCAGGGATCTCTTCTGATAGGGACGAGAAGATGCGTTCGCTGGAGCTCGCCAAATCAGTAGCAAGATCTAATGGATACAGCACGAAAACTCGTCACCCTTACAGATACCGAGTTTATCGTACACTGCCTAGATGGGAGCTGATGATCAGATCCCATTCTGTCTGCCATATATCTCAGAAGAGTTTAGTAGGGCTGTTCGCAGATTGCTTCATCAAGCAGGACTCAACGATATGGTAAGCATCGTCGACATTCCGCCCGCAAACCTTAAAGGGCAGCTACTTCGAAACTGGGAGTATGATCGTCTCTGTACAACTCCTAATGTGTGATTTGTCCATACGGCAAGGAAGGATACTGTATGGTATTGGAGACTGAGAAGGAGACTGTAAGGAGTTGTCTACCTTATCACGTGTACATCATATGGAGACACGTATATTGGCGAGACGGGTCGCCCCCTATGCACGCGCATCAAAGAACACTTAGATTTTCTCAGCAAAGGCAACGTAGCTACTCCGTCAGGCATGCATCGCAGGCTCAGCCATGATGACGCGGAGATGGTGGTGCAGGTTCGAATCCTGGCGCGTGAACCCGAAATCCTAACGCGCAAGACACTCGAAGCGTTGCGGGCCGCGGGCCTTGTTTTTTGTCGTCGTATTTCGTCATTTTTTTCTAACTGCCATTTCTTTTTGTATCTATGCTCATCTACGGTCTATACGACCTCTCTTGTTTCCGGATACGATTTTCTCTCTTGTAAAGGAAGAAAGTATCAAGCCTTTGTTGTTTTTTGAATGTATTTTGTGCGCTTGTGAGTGTTTTACATCACAATGGCATTTTCATCTATGCAGGATCTCTTCGGATGGTCGCATGTTTCGATGTCATCATTCATTATATCGGCTCGTGTGTCACTGAATGTGATCTTATCCTTTAGGCTTAAAAGAGCAGCGCCAATGCGCTGATATCACACTTTCACGCTGGGACTTCGCATTCATGTCAGTTGTTCATCGTGCGGTGCGTGTTATATGTTTTTCAAATAATTCTGTTGTTTTTCATTTTTTTCTTTTCAGAAGTGTCTACGTTTCTCCCATATTCATCGCATCGCAGTAGTGCGAACACTCCCTGTTGCTGGTACCAATGAATACGCGCCTGCAACTAACTTGTGCACGGTTTAGAACACTTTATGACAGGAACTTGAAAAGAGTAAGCGTTGTTTTTTGTTCAGATGTATTTCCACTGTTAATATTTCTGTCTATTGAATATATCATGCATGCTACAATTAACATACAAAACCGTTAATCTTCTAGTTCCTCCAAATCGAGATCACTCTATAGTTCTTTCAATTCAAGATCGCTCTCTATTTCCTCCAGCTCCAAGTCGTCGATCTCGCTGTTGTATTCCGAGGAATTATTTTCAGAAATCTCGTCGGCGAGGCTGTCGTCGTGCTGTTTTTGTCGCGCGGCATCTTCCTGTTTACGAGCTTCACGGAACACCACGATTCTGTGATGAAGGCACGTTGGCCAACCATTCCACTGCACGTGTGCTAACCTAACAATCAGTTTGTGAAGAAAATGTAGAAGCAGTTGATTCTCTTACCATCTCCAGTCTGTCGGTGATCTTACCGTGTTTGGTGAGATGTGCTTTCATTTGTCCCCAACATGACTCTATGGAGTTAAACATGCAGTGGAATGGAGGCAGTCTTATCAAATTAACGCCCAATTCACTGCACCTACGGTCAACCGCGTACTCGCGGACAACGCTCAAACCACCTTCCGAAGATATGAAGAGTTGGAGCTAAAGAGTTAGAAGAACAATTACTGTATCCGATGTGAAAGTGAACGAGAAATTACCTCTGCCAAAAGATTTGATTTTGTGCTCTTAGTGCCTATTGGCACTCCTTTTGCTACCAGATAATCGCTTATGCATTTTTTGGTGGACCGGGCCGTGGGGACTTTGAGCAGCTGTCTACTGTGATATGGGGCGTTATCTATGATTAGAGTTACGCGCCTCTCTCCTGCCCACTCTTGCATATGTGGTACTGAGTTTTCCAGCCACTGCTCAAAGAATTGGTGGTCCATATCTTGGTGGTACATATTCTTCTCCCTTTTGCCACAAAGGACTAGCTTGGTGCAGCCTGGTAGTATACCGTTCTCAGCCATAGCTCCAATAGCTGTACCCCTTTGGCCCTTATTTTTTCCTGCACTTCTTCCGTAGGAGTATTTGTCGAACATCTTTTTGGATGCGAAGCATGGAATGTTGTCATCATTCCAACATCTTTTTTTAACCATCCCTCCAAAAATCCATTTTTCGTCCATATATATAAGACAATCTCCACGACTTCGCGCTTCGCTGATGTCGGACAAGTACTTCACACGCTTTGCGACTGAATCCGATCGCTCAAATATAAATTTTGTCCCCTAGTGTTTATTTTGTAGGAGAAACCAAGTGCTCCAATGAGCACATAGAGGGTGGTTCGCGAAAACCGAAAATTTTCGTGTTCTGACCATAGTTGGCAGTGCAGGTTAGTGATGGTGACGTCTTCTTCGTTTTTAAGTTTCTCATTTTTCAAGTATTGCTTTTTTATAACTTCGTCCCACTCTTCTTTGTATTTGTTCAGTGTAATTAGACGTCGCTGTTTTCTGCTTAAAGCAGGCTTGGCGCTTTTTCCTGGTCGATGATGCAAATTTTGCGGCGTTCGACTGACCGTGCTCGCAGAAACATCGCAAGCCAGTGCCGTTAGATCTCTGGGTCTGTCAAAAATTGCATGGTCACATGTACCATTCATCGCAAGTTTTAATTTTTCGAAGAATTCTCTAACACGGCTGATAACAGCTTTCTCTTGCGGGCTGAGTTTGTAGCGCTGTCTGATGTTGCGTGTCCTTGAGCCTTCTATCGAGTGAATGAGGTCAATATAGCGACGCTCGCAAGTAGTACCTTTTCTTCGTGTGTCACACGTGACCTTAGTAACCTAAGAACCGGTTTTCTTGTTTTTCTGGATGGCTATCATTTCATATAGGATAGAACTGTATATAGTGGAAAAGCACACAGAATCGTGCCAATTTCCGGTAACAAAGTCTGCAAGAACCAAGCAGAACACCAGTGCGAGGTCATGAGGGTGAGGAATCTTTTCAAAGTTCTCACACTACAGCACCTGCGCTGGCGAGCGCTGCTAACGACTACGAATCGAAGTGATATGTGATGGATAAATTACTCTTAGGTTTGAAAATTGGGTAACAAAAAAGTAATGTTCAAAAAACTTCTCAGAAAACCTGCTAAAATCCCTACCACTGTTTCGGAGCGATATGAGACCTGTTGAACCTCTGTCAGACTGAGGGGACACTCAGTTGCGGTAGATTTTGTATGTTCAAACTAAAATTGAGTGTCCGCGTAGGAAAGTGATGATATAGGCAAACCGAGGTAAAACACGAGTCTGAACACTTACGCAACGTAGCTATCTAGCGGTCTCGATTATGTTTGGAATCCGCATATCAGCAAGAGCTTGTCGCTACAATACGGAATTTTCGGCAATGATTATGCAGTATCAAAACGTCACAAATCACACACAAGTTGCTCAGAAATGAAATCTAGTTAGTAACTCAACCTTTCTGACACAAGTCATTTTCCGAGATGTGATTGATGATGACGATGTCTGGAATGATTTCTATCTTTGAAAGCACTGATATAGTAATTCTGTGTACTTAGCATCCGCATACAGCAGCGATGCTGATTACGCAAAAGTGATGTATCGCCTCTCACCCCCACACACCAAAAACTCCGATCATCTCACCCTCGAGACTCATGATTAGGGTAGAGAGGGATAAACATAGGGAAAAGTCAAAGTAGTAAGAAAAGGGGGCATACCATTTCAGAGCGGAAAAGCGCAGCAGTGGCTTTGCTTTGTGCAACGCGAGGGATACCCTGAAACATATGATGGCATGTAATGGGCTCATTAGAATAATGCGGAAGCTTACACAAAAAAACTTACATGTGGCTTCGGCAAAGAGGAAGAGCACCAGTCATTTTAACGGTTCTTAAATGAGTTGTTTCAAAATACATCTTTTTTGAAAGACTTCAAACCTCCATTGTCTTCCGATCGCGCGGTTATACCTTGGGTGATCTTGGGAAGTCCCGAAGCAGAGTTTCAAATAGAAAAAGCTCAGAACTTTAGAAGTAGGACAGAGATTGAGCTGAAAAAGAAGCAGGAAGGGTAACCAAACCAAGGACTACGCTGTTTTGCGCGGCATGGTCCCTGCACGCTGCGTCATACGATGGCGCTCGCGCGTAGGTGTGTGACTGCATTACGCGGCGCTGGCCCTCTCAAACGCATTGTACAAGGAAGGTTATTGGCTCGTTTCTTCCTGAAAATCCCAACCTTGTGAATCTTGCGAAAAACATTAGATTAGTCGCTAAGGAGATACTCATATATCTAAAGCTGATGAAAATCTCACAAAGTCATCGTATCTCTGCAGCATGCCACGTTTGTAGTAGATGAATAACATCCTTACAGGGGAAGGATACTTGGATGCCGCAGCCATTCAAAATCATTTGTATAAAAAAAATGCGCTTTTGAATGCTGGTTCGTAGACTGTCTTTCATATCTGCGAAACGATAATCTGAATGGAGTTATGATTTTTTTTCATCAAAAAAATTGCGTTCCTGCGGAGGGTCAAAATCATCAATAAAAAATTTTTCTCTCCTTTCCAAATGCTGAGTATGATCCAGATAGTCTAAATAAATATTACTACGTCTAAAATTTTCTTCAGCAGCATCAAACGGTAGGCTAGATCAAATCTGGTGATTTTTGCTATCCAAAAGTAGGCTAAATTTTCAAGGAAAAAAGTTCATAACTTTCTTCAAAAGATCGTTTCGCAGATTTTGAGCACAGAATCAGAATCTGCATTCGAAGGTGCATTTTTTGGTATACAAATCATTAGGAATGGCCGCGGCATCCAACTATCCTTCCCTTGTTAGAATGAGTACATCGATTAAGCAATGAGCACATCCAAAAAGCACATCAAAACTCCTTGAAAAAAGCTCCGCCGCACTTCGTTGCGCTCTAGTGGACTGCGGCGGAGCGTGGCGGATTGCGCCGCAGTCCGGCGACTTTTTTGACGAATTATGAGCGGTATTGTATGTGTCTTCGACTTTTTCAGACTCTGAAGAAGACGAGTTCGACGAAACGTTAGTCTGTTATTCTGTGCGATAAAGTTCTGTACCGATCTTGGATTACGCTCAAGCAACTAACAAGAAGATTTCAACTATGCCAAGATTTATGGGTAGTCGAACATGGATGCTTACGAACGATGTACCAGCAAAATCTGGAATCATTTGGTGATCCAGCGGTGTAGAAAGTGAAGTGCCTGTCTGTCTGTACTAGTACTGTCTATAACTGTCTCTTGTTAGCAACGTAGCCTGCTTACATAAGCAAGGCTGATTCATATGATTTGAACTTGAAGTCTTGTTCGCAAAAAAACTTAGCCTTTAGTCAAAGTTCTTGGGTCACGAGACTCCCAATCATAAGTTATACATTGAGCGCTTTCAGACAATCCGATTCTTGTTCAGAAGTGACTATTGCTTGCTGTGCTTTTTCGAATGACGGCTTATCGCTGATTCCTTTCTTACTTTCCAGCTTCAGTGAGTACCAGTACCTCATCAGTGATGCATGTAAGATTCTGTTTCTCAAACAAGGCTTCAATCGAAGCTTGCAGTTACTTTAAACACAATCATTATCTTTTCTTGCAAATACAGGCTTCACTAGTATATCTGCAAAAGCAGCATGACAAACGCTACCAAGTTCACCTATTCGCCATCTGCACTAATATCGAATTGCGATATGTTTAGATCACTCTGCAACAAGCAATTCCGACAGAACTGTGAAGTTGCAATTGCAATCAAAAAATGTGCAACATGGTGTTTTTTGCGAGCGTATAAGCGGCGAAATAGTAAATGCAGACTTTTTGAACTGGATCTTTTATCTAAATCTCTAACAAAGAAAATATCAGAAGTCGCAGTGTCCTTCAATGCGTATCACGAATCACAGCTTGAAACATTGCTCCCAACCTCCACTTAGGTTGAATTCATACTGATCTGAAGTTCGTAAACAGATTCAGCACATCGTTCCACTCGAACGCTGTTCTGAAACTGTTCCCAAACTCGGGGGATTAGTATGAATGCAGCCTTAGCTGCAAACGAATATAGGGCCGATGTAATTGGCTCTAATTTTCGAGAACTTCGAAACGCTGGAATACCAAACTGTCAAAGCCAGGTATTCTAGCATTAAACTTATTGTTAGTTAGAACCACTCATCGTTAATTAATCGAACATAAGTCTTCTTCAAACTCAATCTGTAGTGGGCAGCGAGCATTTAAACGATTTCCATAACCACAGGGTACTGTAAACAATGCAAGTTTAGCGGTCAAAATGCTCATGACTTTCCGCACAGCGCTCTGCAATCAGCGAAAATAGCTTTGGTCTCAGCATTTCAGACTGTTCCAGAAGAAATCTCTGTTGAGAGGCCGCTGCGACTTGTGACGCTGCCCATGTAAGCAATCTTTAGAAAATTGTTGTGATAGAGAGTAATGGTTTTGTATGCATGAATTGAAGAATCAGAACTTACCATCTCAAAGCGCTCTCTTCCTCGGCTAGTGTTTAAGGGACAGAATCATTTGAACCATTGCAAGGATTAATGGCCACCCTCGATCAGCAGCCTATAATTTTGATCAATGCTTTTTTCTTTTCTTTTTTCATCCGCGATTACGGTTCATTGCTTGCCATTAATGTTTGTCTGAAGTGCTTACTGTTAGAAGTTGAGAACTCAAAAGAAATCGGAATAAATTGTAAAAAAAGGAAATGCTTTGAGGATCATACTTCCTGAAATCCTTGAATTGTCCCTAGCCGTCCTTACAGTCGGAAGGCAGAGATCCTTTGACAATTTACTTCACATATAAATAAAGTAGCTAACTGAAATGTACACCAAGGAAATGGTCAGAACTTGACCCAGCCATTTCAAACAAGCTGTATATCATCGGACTGGTCTTGAAACGCTGATCTTTACCTGCCAAGCGAATATCTGGGAGGAGTTATGAGCGCTTAAATGTGCGATTTGGCAAGTGTTTTGTGGCGCATGTCCCACAAGATACGTTTCAAAGCCAATTATTTAGGTTCTTGGTAAATGTGCTTCTTCCTTGTAGTTGATATAACATAGCCACTGTAAATCCGTGCCATCAGGCTG